TAATAAAATGGCTATAATGTTTGTCGTAAATCAGAATATGATTTTCTTCCGGTTATTGACAGACGGAAATTTGTTTAAAAAGTGCCGCGGTATGTTCAGAAATACCGCCTCATACGGCGGTTAAAAAAAATGTTCGTGGTGCATAGCTCTACCTGTCCCTTCGCGATACTTGCTTGCCCTGCAAGAGGATCGTATGGTGTATAGTCAGGGGGAACAAGTGCCGGATTTAGGACAAATGAGGCCCTGCGATAGTTATGAGAACCCTTACTTGGGTCCTGAAGGTGGTAGGCACCGAAGTCAGGCATATATACTGAGGAAATTGTACACAGATAGTCAGCCATATATACTCAGGAAATTTAGGAGTAGTTATAATAGCCACAAATATTTGAATAATTCATCGTGCCAAAGAGATGGGCCACCTGGCCAACAAGGGCCCATTGCTTAGCATACCTAAGCACAATAGTAAATCCGGTACTGGCGGAAACTAGTTTTATCTGATGAGAACGACAAAGCGGACAAAATGATCACATACCTTTATAATGAGGGGATTCTCATAATCATTCCACTTCATACTGGTTTAAAGATTACTATTTTGTTGTCGCCAAGCGTTCTGAATATCCATTCAGTTAAAACATCTGCCACAAAATGGATGTGTATTAACCAGATCCTTGCAACCTTACCTATTGAACAATTTCGGCCAAATGGTTTGCTAAATGACTTCGTCAAATCAACTGAGCCCAAGATTCCAAGTTTGACAAGAGGTGTTAATGCCCCATGGTTGTGTTTAGATGAAAAAAGCTGCATATATGTCCAGTTGTTGTATTTGTCTTTTTGGTAATGTTTTAATGCTTTATTCAAGTGAAAATGTTACTGACCTTGCACCGCTACACGCCTAAGTACCGCAGAAGATGGATTGCATGGTACCGACCCGATTTGAGGGACCAATACTTTCATTGAATGTTATCTTTACGCTCTTTTAAAAAGTTAAAAATACATATGAGAAAGATCTCATTGCTCTTTTAACTTGAAGAAAATACATTTTAGTAAGTCGGACATTTTTCGTGATGTTCATTACTTGTTCACTACTAGAGAAACATGAAATTTATATGAATAGTCTGGTACTCGACTCAATTTATTTTACTTCGTCTTCGCGTTGATTCTTTAATAACTTGATCAGCTCTATTTTTAACGCTATATATCAAGTTATTTGTTCGGCCCTGACACTTTAAGATTTTGAGGTGTATAGATAAATTAATGTCCAACGTGCATGTCTTTAGATAATTCAGAACTAGAAATAAAAGTGTTGCGATCGCAATATCCTTTGATATGCTGTATCATTATCTGTACTTCAGCCGGAATACCCCATTGCATATAGAATCAAGATACATATCTCAATACATAATAAATAGTGATTGTGACATCACATCATTGTAGTAGAACTTGTAGTTAGTTTATCATGATATACCTGAAATAAAGCTGAGAACAAAAGCGATAACTGAAAAAATTTATGTTTCTTCAGTTAGACCTTTTTCTTGGATGGTATTGTTATCCATCTTATTGTCAGAAGCTATCCGAATAGTTTCCATACCAACAGTTTCGACGACAATATTATTATCTTTTTGGATGGATACGGTAATATATGTTGATATTTCATTTCTTATTACAAATTCCGGCAAGATAGTCTGTAGATTTAATGTCAATGCAAAAAATATTTTTTAAACAAATGCAATAGTAACAATAAAAAGAGAAAATAATGATTTGCAGAGATCAAAATGTCGTAAGAAATCTAGAGATAGCTCGAGTTTCAGGGGTCAAATAAAATAAAATGCGCAGTCAGTAAGAAATCGTCTGCAGAGTATGCAAAGCGATCCTGATCGGTTAAGGCTATACTAGTAACATTGCCACATGATAACAACGTCTGCATAGTGGTACACACATTACATGAAAACGAACAAGGCAGGGATCAGTAAGTACATTGTTACGTATTGCATCAACACTACTGCATCTCAATATGTATTGTATCCCTTGCTATCTCTATTGTATATATCGTGAAATGTATTTGTAGCGTCATCCAATTATCGTGATATATGTTGTATCGTTCAATGTCGCAGCCTGAATTGAATCCAGTACCGGATTTACCATTGTGTTTAGGTGCTTGATCATGTTGGCCAGGGGGACAATCTTCTTTACAAGATAAAAGAAAATTACGATGAATTTTTCATTGTAAGGGGCCTCATAACTTAACTAGCACAGGGCCTCATTTTTCCTAAATCTGGCACTGATTGTATTGCCTAGTAACTGTGCGATAAATATCGGGTCCTATATTTGTAACGTAACCATACTATTGTGATATGTATTGTATTGTGATCAAACAGGCGATGTGTAGTTCTAAAGATAGTGGACGCATTTGGCGAGAGTTAGGATTTAGCATTGTTTAGTGTGCTATTTTTTCTATATTACTTAAAACTAGTTACTATTATTGCGGATGTGTAATGCAACCAGTGACTAGATCAAAATTTGAGTTCCCGTAGGTGCTAACAAGTCATTTACAGATATATAAATTACCCATATAGACACTTTTTCAATTGTATTGTAGCAATCGCACGTCTGTTTATTTTACATTTAATATCTGCATATTTTATGAGACCCATAGGAGACCCATCTGACATTCCATCTGAAAAGAAACCTCGCCTCATATTAAACTACGACCGTAAATCGACTTTCAATTTCCATTAGTAAGGAGGAAATATTGCCAACGTCTCGCACGTGCCTGGCATATGAGCAGAGAAACAGAAACCACCAATATTAGTCTGTAATTAGTGTAAATGTTAGTTATTGCCATTTGCTAATGAATTCATTCAAAAGATATTAAAATCTTTTGTTGTGAAATAAATTATTCTTGCTTATAGTTACATTTGCCAGAACAGTCTTCATTCAGTCCATTGTGATATATTGTAAAATTTTGGCTGTTTAATAGGAGAAAAAAAAAATCTTGGCTGGAAGGGGGCTTTTAACCGGGGTCTCTTTAACTCTAGACGAACATTTCACCACCTCAGCTATCTACGCAGATATAGCCGACCGGTCCTACGAAACATTAGCCAGGATTTTTGAAGACAAGTCCCCTTTATTCCCATTATGCATGATTTAAGCAAGCAGGCGTACAGCTGACCGTCAAGCTCTTGATGAGTACGACATATCTGTGTGACGTCATCCCACATGTGCTACAAAAAGACTATAATTTGTATTCAGCATAAATTCCCTCATGCTTCGCGAACGTAGAGTAGGATTTTAAAATATTGTTAATATGTCGTATAGCAGACGACAATGTACTGTACATAGTTGCGTATCAGTTGAGTCCAACTACAAACAACATTGACCCTGATCTGCTATTACATGATGCCCAGGCAAATCAGGTCAATGCTATTTGTGCTATCGATTACTCCTAACAAACCGCATCGACGCAGATCTTTCAGCGCACTAATGGAACCAAGAGGAAACGATGATGACGACGAGGAGGTGGACGAAGATGGCGACGACGATGATGATTACGAAGACGACGATAATGTGTAATTCAACAATATTGTGATCGTCCTGCTTTGCTTCAATTACACAATCTAAACGCTGTGATTTAAAGTTATTTTGAAATTTAATTTTTCTTTTTTCTAGAGATAATATTATATCATGGGGTAATATTTGTGGCCCAGACTGGTGCTCAAACTCAGAGCCTCCCTAATTTTACACTCGCGTTCTACCACTTGAACTATTCGAGCCAATGTACCGAACACATCCCTGAGCCAGTTATTTCAGAGAAATTTTCTTCATGTAAGGTAAATTTGTATAAACTGGTGATATATATTATCTAAAAAGAGAGTAATAAAACCGAAACTAAGCGCCTGTACTTTATGTAATTTTCCAGCAGCTATCGTGTAAACTGGCAATCTTACACTCTCCACAAAATTTTTAAATTTTTTATTAACGGTATTTTTAATGGAACAGGAAGCCCTAATGAGGTTTCGCATAAATTGGGCGCAGTTCAATAGGTAGATACACCATAACCCTTTCAAAACAGCTAGCTAAGACAGAGACACGCATTGGATATGGTACGGTAGATTCTATTAATGTTATGTGAAACATTTACATGAAATAAAATGGAAAATCAAATACTGGTTGGATATAGAATGGAGTGGGATGGGGTGATATTTTTTATTTGTCCTTTTCTTGGTTTTAACAGAAGATTTAGCACATTGTTTTTTTATATAATGATGAAGACGTAAGAGCTACATGCCTTTCTAAAGAACACGCTCAAACAGCTGGCCTGGGCTGATATCGAATTCGAAACCCTTAGAATACGAATCCGACTTCTGTAAACTCAGCTATCACCGCTATCTATTTTGTTGTATGGTAGAAGGTGACCACCAGTAAAATTTGGGCTGTATATTTTATTATTTATGGCTTTCTGTTACCCAACTGTCAGTATTATACAATTATGATCTTTTTGCTGGCGTCAATAAATTGTTTTATTGAACTGTGAAATGGGATATTGACGTACTCGCATATCAATAAAGCAGTGCAGAGAGCGAAAGAAAAGTTCATAATTGTATAGTTACCTTCATACCGTGATCTAAAAATATCCTCCAGCAAGTACCAGGTCTGGTTTTGCGGAGTTCAATGCGAGGAAACCAAACCAAAATGTTATATATTGAGTGCGTGTGACATGTGACATGTTCAGCCAATTAGAATTAAGAATAGTTGTTTATAAAAATATTAACAAGCAATATTGTATATTGTGCCACAGAGGGTATTTGGCTCTGTAGAGGAGACAAACATCCTGGCTGCGTTCAAAAATGTTAGGTTCGGTCGAATGGTCAGCTTTGTTCTAGAATTTTGAAATCGTGTCATGATTCCGCAAAGATTGAGATAATGAAAATGATCAAGAAATAAACTATTTGAACTGGAAACCAAGAATTTCGCATTTGTCCATAACCAAGCCAACCATCCCTTAGGTGGCCTAGTGATTAGAGCGTCTGCCTCGGATGCTGAAGGTCGTAGGTTCGATCCCATGCCGGGTCATACCAAAGATTTTAAAAAATGGTACTAACACTTCCTCGCTTGGCAATCGGCATTAAGACGTTAGTGTTAGGACTGGTCGGACTGGTGTCAGAATAATGTAACTGGGTGGGACATTATGTTACATGTCTGCTGCATGATTCCCCAGTGCTACACCCCAGTGCTACTCATCACAATAAAGTGTCACACTACAAACCTAGTAGCGATATGACTGAAAATTCGGAAAGCTACGTTAAAAATTAAAATCACACACACACACACACACACACACACACACACACACACACACACACACCAGAGCCAAACCAAAACCTTCGAACCAATATCTAGTGGAGTAGATCTTAGAAAGGCATAAATCTGTCACAAGACAGTTTCCTTCGGGATGTACGGACGAGACTTTATCCGTGTTCCTCAGTAGCTTTTAAACTTAAATGGCATAGTTAGCCTTATATCGAAATAAGAGGATATTATTAAATTGGTAAAGTGTATAGATTCTAAAACTGTATCTCCCTTCCCGATAAACATATTTCATGGATAGTTTACGAAGACAAAATTTGTTTGATCAGCTTGTGTGTTATCTTTGATGATTTTCAGCGTCAGCTTCAAAAAATGAGAAATCTTCTGCTACGGTACAAATTTGTTAAAACTAATAGAATTTCTAATTATGCTATTAATATTTGTTGTTTTGTTTTGCGACTTTAACGCAATTGACTTTCATACCCACATACTGAGCAAACGATATAACTAAAGTAATATTTTTATTTTCTAAGAATCGATTAACATTTTGGAAATAAAAGCATGCCACTTGCAATCCACAGCTTTGTGAGTTATAATTCAACTATTTATTACAGAAACCTATAAAAAACAAAACAAAAATAAAACTGCTCGAAAATTCGACCAAGTTCACGTAAAAATAAAATAAATTCGGTATTTAGAGAATAATCAGAAAATTGCGATTACAATCTTACATTTTTAGAAGAAAAAGATTTTAAAAAACCTAATTTTATTATTAGTTATATAGTGTTTATAAACAGGCTTCTTATGCGCTTTACACACATGACACGAACGAGCATGAAATAACAAGTTTTAACAATGATTTTCAATCCCAGTAATTGATATAATTGTCCGTATAACAGAAAACATACCCCACTTAAATCGTCAAACGTCCGAATATTGAAAAAATGTTTGAGACTATTGGATAAATCGTGGGAAAGCTAAGTGGTAACCACTTCACACGAATAACTGTCCCATCTGTTGCACCGGTATTAAAACAAGGTACAAAGTTTGTTCTCAAGACTGAAATCGCATTTCACAATAAATACCTGCACGAAGTCTCTGGCCTGATGACACCGTCTTTTGTCATCTGCTCCGCCTCGGACTTTTCAATAGAGGCGGCGGGAAATGAATACTCCTTTTAGGACTCGTAGTACCAATTATATCGAAAATGAGAACCAGTCTAGAAACTGGCGAACATAACATAGCGCATATATGGGTTCGAGGGCCATGATAGATTGAAAATGAAAATCAAAATTTAGCAAAAGGATTTTTTAGAGACCTTATCCAGTTTATAACTGAGAATATAGAGACAGTGTTTAATGATGCAATTTCAGTCTTGTTACAGATTTTATTTTTGGGACACTCATTACTTAAATTTACACCTAATTGTTTCAGTGAGAAATTGAAAATACATGCTTCAAACACATGCGGATTTTATTTTTAATTTCGCGATTCATATGGTTTTTCACACTCGGAAACTTCCATCAAGAATGGCCTATACTGCGAAATATAGGTATCATCATGGTCATTGAGAAACTTAAAGTTTGTTAAATGTTTTTTTTTATATCATGGATGGTATTTTCATTGTTTTCTGGGCCCGATCAGGTCAAAGTGTTGAGAGGGGGGGTGTCGAAAATTTCAAAAGAGTTCTAAATTTACTCGAAAGGGCAGAAAAATAAAGTCTAGGCGTCTATTATATACCCAATAAATGTGCGCACGAGTAAAACGATAGTCAAATTTCCAGTGACAAGTGACTGGAGAGGGGAATCAAGAAATTTCGCCCCCGTCCCCTCCCTCCGGCCTGGTTTTATAGCAGTTGAATTCGTACTGTGGATTCAGCAAGTCAATTGATAGCGCTTGTCAAGAAGATCGTTTGTAGAATTACACTAAGAAATTTAACCACATTATAGGCTAGCCATACTATGATACTTTTCTATGAAAAAGTTAAACTACTCTTACATATTTCTTCTAATTCTGTTTTAATTTCCTGTTAGATAAAAGTGCAACGGTGACTGACAAAGGTTATCGTAGAATAAACAGCTTGTCTTAGAGTAAATCCCACTATTCAAATAGGTAGTCTCCTGAAATGTGATGTAAATACCAGTGAAATGCAGTGAAACCGGCTATTATGTCATCGATCTCCTTTTCAGAGTTGCAGCTTTGCAATCTAATGTACAGTGTGTGTGTGTGTGTGTGTGTATATATATATATATATATATATATATATATATATATATATATATATATATATATATATATATATAATGCATTGCAGAATTAAATATTGAAATATATCTGTCAGAGAAAAATGATATCGTCATATTGGCGATACTACTTTCATCACCACAGCGCTGATATCACTTTTGAAACAACTTTCTTTTGCCGTTTAGAAAAGTAATGTATGCTTTTCACATCTGTATTTCCATAACCAGACCTGTTGTATTTCACCTTCTCCCCGTCAACTTTCACCTTTCCCCTCTGTCTCCCAATCACGATTAAATTTTACAATGTGTAAAGACTGTTCACCCTCTTGTGTGATCAATAGAAAGGTGCTGTCACGAATGAATCGAAACGAACGCCAAACCATAACAAGCATGTTTCAAGTATTAGCGTTTTATAATTAGTCTTCAACATGAACGATACATATTGTCAGTGACTGAACTCACATAACCCGTTGCTACTGTTATCCCTTGTCAGACATAACTTACAGTGTCGATTTCCTATGGTAATAAAATTGTTTAAGTAGCGATTTTATCTGTCATCACACTGATAATTGTGGCTGAAAAAGATACAGAAATCAGTTATCGATAGGCGTCGTTTAGAAACCGAAATTAAGTGACAATGGAAATGTGGGTGCAACGTCTGTTGCTGAAATAGACAGTAAGCCCGCCAACATTTAAAAATCACTCTTGGTTTCAAAAATAAAAAATAGCACATACAACTCACACTTATTAAAATCTGATGTTTAATGATGTTTTTTCAGAACTGTATCAAACGGCGTAAGAAATGTGTTAAGGAAAAAAAAGATCTATAATTTTTGCTTTGTTACTGGGACTTTCCCGGTTTATTCCTCCACCAAGTTTTTATTGCCCGCCACATGGCATCAGTACACAATTAATAAAATCCGGTTCAGTACCCACGAATGTAGTCCCAGTCTACTTTTAGATCACTTTTTCCTGTCTGAAATTGGTGGTGATACTAGAGTTATATTTTGGCATTCTTGGTAAGGATTTAAAGGCAATTGTTTATTCTTTAAAATGTGAGCTTATGGTGTGGTTGTCTGTGTGTATTTCGGCGACAGTGCACATTGAGTAATAAGGTCATGGTGATGATCCGGAAGTGAAATCTGTGTTCCGTTGCCTGGTGTTTTGTTTACAATTCAGCCTCTCAAAAAAATGCAGGTCAACCCTTGACAAGAACTAAACCGTAAAGTCATCTTTGAAGGTATTTTAGATTAACATATGATTTGTATTGATTGTCACACAGTGGAAAGTTCAGTACTGAGAAACAAATGTAGAAACAATATAGCAAAATTAATTGTGTTCTATGGCCACATATAGCCTCTCATGCGCTAAGAAACGGCGTTAAACCCCAAAATAACATCCCCTACGTGCCGTAAATCGGCATCATGGGCTGTCAGTTGTGGAAAACATACATAGTGCTAATATGTCATACTGAAAAAAATAAATCACCAACTTCCATTTTTCGCTTGTGTATTTGAGGCAAGGCGTCTATGATCTTCATTATATCAATTTTTCAATTTTAATTCAGCTTTGAAAGCCAATTATTGGCAGGGCGTTTTTTCCCTATACTTATTCATATAAAAAGAAACTCACTTGAAGGCATATTCAAATCAAACAAGAAAATAAACACCAACCTATAACATTTCAAGTGATTCTAGACTGATTGGACCTGTAACTATGTTAAATTAGCAGCTTTTACGAAAGTTTAGTGGTCTAAAACTCGAAAGCTTTCATTCTTAAAACAATTTAGATTGTTTTTCGCTATCGTTGTACGTACAGCTCCCGTGACCTAAGTGATTAGAGCTTCAGCCTCGGGGGTGGGAGTTCGCAGGGTCGAGCATCTACCGAGTTGTACCAAAGACATAGAACAAAAGGCAATTACAGCTGCATCACTTGGTGCTCAGCATTAAGAGGTTAGTGTTAGGACTGGTCGGCCTGGTGTCAAGATAATGTGCCTGGGTGGGACATAATGCTACATGTCTGCGGCATGATGTCCCAGTGCTAGACATCACTATAAAGTGCCACACTGCAGACATCGTAGCGATATGACTGAAAAATTGTTAAAGCTACGTTAAAAATCCACACACACACACACACACACACACACACACACACACACACACACACACTATCGTTATACGTGAAATATTGAGACCTTGGAAAAACTGCTCTGTTTGCTTCGCCTTTAACCCGACCTTGTTTACGAGTTATGTGTCAAATGGACAGCTAGAGGAGTGATTTATATTATAAGTGACATATAATGCAAACGTAACTTATTTTCTCTGATTGGGGTTAGGCGTGTAAGCATTTACCTAACATCTTCCTTAATTAAACACCACACAACCGAATATAAAATAAAAACCGATTCGGTGAACCGCTCCGGTGGCCTAATGGTTAGAGCGTCCGCCTCGGATGCGGGAGGTCGTGGGTTCGATCCCCAAACGAGTCATACCAAAGACTTACAAAAATGGTACTAACAGCTGCCTCGCTTGACGCTCAGCATTAAGAGGTTAGTGTTAGGACTGGTCGGCCTGGTGTCAGGATAATGTGACTGGGTAGGACATCATGCTGCATGTCTGCGGCATGATGCCCCAGTGCTAGACATCACTAAAAACTGTCACACTGCAGACATCGTAGTGATATGATTGAAAAATTGTTAAAGCTAAGTTAAAAATCATAATCACATCACATAAAATAAAAACACACACACAAAACAAGAAAACACAACAACCCAGAGAAAATCCCCATCACAACCCCAAAAATAAACAGTCGTACGAATCGGGAGGCGGGGTTTATGTAGATGCGTTGAGATGTGCAATCTGATTAAAATCAAATCTCCATTGTCCTTCAGCTCGGATAGTGGGGATCTGTTATTAATCAGACTGCAGAGATGTGTCTACTGCCCCGATTTATTAGCTCAAGTAAGATGCGTGGATAATACAGTAATATCACCTCTCTTACTGTATCATCATGGTACAAAATCTTGATCAAAATATGATACAATAGTAAATTTTTCTTTACAGAGCTGTTGTTATATATCACCATATATTTGCAGAAAAACTGAGATGAAATCGTGCTTGTACAACAATGTGGGTGGGTGGATGTCTGTGTATGAGAGAGAGAGAGAGAGAGAGAGAGAGAGAGAGAGAGAGAGAGAGAGAGAGAGAGAGAGAGAGAGAGAGAGAGAGAGAGAGAGAGATTATTCGCGTGCTTTCTTGGACCCACAAAGTACATCACGAGTTAATAAAGTGTGCTGAATTAATGAGTTCGTACATTTGATAAACACTATGACCATCAAATATATATACTAATCAATGTTACCAAAAGAAGTTGAGTTAGAAAGCCAATTGTTCTTAAGACGACGAAAAGAGTGGATTCAAATAATTCTAAGAAATATAAAAGTGTTATATACTGTCTCTATAATCAAGGTACTGGTACAATTAGTCAAAGTTAATGAGTGGTTGAACTATAAAATGCTAATGAGTCGCTGAACTACGGGTATAGTTTGATTAATGTACTCAGTGTTAGTCTTATGAATTCGCTGTGGTTTGTCGTCACCTGTATGGAAAACAAATAAATTCTCAAAGCTCTTAAAACATGGAGATCATAAATTAGATAACCGACGTGAAAGACATTGCAGCACGCGATCACCGATCACCCGTTTCCCGCGTGCGATTTGTTTTGGAAGCACGCCTGCGTTGTGACAGATGCTGCTGCTGCCTTTGTGATGAGCGCGTTGTATAGGAATTCTTTAAGTGAAAGCAGATGATGACAAAAGCCGGTTTTTTCATATCATTGATAGACCATATGCTGAACCTATTACATGCCGACATATGTTTTTTTTTTTATTTCAGCAGCTATGAATAAATCACAGATCTCGATGTCTCTATAATTTTCATAAAATTAACTTTCCTCTTGAATTTTACCAACTAAGAAAGGTGTGAAATTGAATTCGGAATACATATTGATCGCATCACATGAAAGTGTCTTCATATCCGTGTGTGGAATAGTGACGACACGAATTACGAAGAGCACGACGTTTACGAAAGAACGTGTAGTACTCTGTCAAAGACAAAAGTTAAGCTTCGTATTTTGAAGCCACGAGTTTTTTTTTGTTTGTTTTTAAAAAAACACTAGAAGATAATGCAGCAGTCACAGAGGTTAAATAGCACAAAAACAAAGAAGTGTAAGGTGGATATATTATTAAAATTAAACATGATACTAACTTTCAAACGAATAGGTTGACATATCTTTAACCATCACAACTAAATTGGCAAAGATTTAAGTTATATATAGGAAGAGTATATATAATTCTTAAAACAGTCATCGGAGTAGTACACACTCCGAATACCTCTCCACCAGCAACAAAGCCTTCTCCTCCATGCCCCCCCTCCCAAGTGTGACAAGTTGTATTCTCGTTTGCAGTTGTATGAACAATGAATCTTTATATGATACACGAGTTACTTTTTTTGGTCCTCCCCACCCCACCCCACCTCACCCCCATACCGTTATGCCAGTCAACATGTCATAAGCGTCGTCTAATGCAGGCAGTAACCGCGGTGACTCAGAGGTTACTGTGCTGGACCCGTGGCTGCGTTGTAAACACTAACTTTATTCTATTTTTATTTTGTTTATTTTTTCGACGTGCATACTTTTATCCTTGCGATTACTTTCCAAATGTTGCGATCAGAACATCGCCCAGCTAGGTGTCGTGAAATAACATCGGAAGTAGTTGTAGGGACACCCATCAATTTGATGTTATTTGGTGATTCACCTATATGGCGGAGTGTACCATATATGTTACGACAATACAAGCCGAGGTTATTCTGATTGTTATTGTATCTTCTTCGCTGCCATGTTGCTCAGTGTAAAAAAAAGTAGTCCAGAATTTAGTTCTCAATGGCGACTAATTATATCCAGGGGTGTAATGCTGTGGGAATATCATCTGTTTACCTGTTTCGCTTTCCCTTACTTTATTTACGTTCATCATTCCCTCTTCTCCCCGCCTCTGTGTAACATGCGTTCCCTCACTTTTTTTTTATAGCGCCAAACCACTGATTACATGATTACATCTGATGTTTATATTATGAGCTGATGGAAATGGCCGAGCGATGATCTATCTGATCGCCAAATGGCGACCTATTTATAAATAAATAAAAATGAATTAAAAATTGAAAGCCCTTTCCATTCACCTGTTGAAGTTAGAATAATACTCTTAAGTATCAGTGGTAAACTATGCACACTGTGTCAAGATAAACCGGTGCACTGTATATATGGTGTCAAGGTAATCTATGTACCCGTTGTCAGGGTGACTTTCACATATTTTGCAGCAAATCCATATTTCCGGCAACAGTTAATGAAGACGATAAGCATTTCTAAAAACCGATAAGGAAATTGGTGAAATTAGCATAAAAGTCAAGGTATATAGAGATAAAGTTTTCTTTAAAAAAATTTTTAAGTCGATCGTATGGCTTTCAGTACTTACAAGAAAACGTTTATGGAGAAAATAATAAGCTTAGAATGCAATATTTCAATATAAATAGTAAGTTTAATGTAATCTTGCACCCTTCAGTTTTTTCATCAGCATATCCACAACTGCAAAATTATATGGTTAGTACGATGGATAGCTTGTTGTTTAATTTCCTATCATTTGCTTTCTTTTCTTGTCTACCGCTCCGGTGGCCTAGTGGTTAGAGTGTCCGCCTCGGATGCGGGAGGTCATGGGTTCGATCCCCGGCCGAATCATACCGAAGACTTATTTAAAAAATGGTACTAACAGCTGCCTCACTTGGCGCTCAGCATTAAGAGGGTAGTTTTTAGGACTGGTCGTCCTGGTGTCAGGATAATGTGACTGTATGGAACATTATGCTATGTCTCTGGCATGATGCCCCATTGCTAGACATCACTATAAAATCACATTGCAGAAAACAATGTAACTGAAAAATTATTAAAAGCTACGTTAAAAATCATAATCACATCTAATGTATTTCTTTCCTTTAGAACTTAACTGTCTGATGACATTAGTTATTTATTCTGTAGCTTTTGTCACATTTTGAGGAACAAAATACGGGTGCATTATCCTGACTTGGGAACCGCCATAGCTCAGTGGACTTCTAATGCCGCGGTACCGTCAAGGTCGGCCAGGATCAGCTTGCTTGGTCCGTTCCGCATAATGGACCGTTTTCTCGGCATGACCATTAAAAGTGCTGTTGAAAAATCCTCCTCCTAACCAATCATCAAGTCAACCCTACTTTTGGACTGCGGCTTTTTGGCGAAATTTCTCCACAATATTTTCCTCTGTTAAAGAAAGTAAATATGTTATTTCCAACGTTATTTTTAACACGTTCATATGCAGCTCTGATGGTACAAGTTCCAGTATGTCCTACAATGAGATTATAGGACGGCACTCTACATGCCATCAATGGGTTATAACGTTTGATTCAGCCAGTGTTTTAAGAGCTTAGATCCCAATGGATTAGGAGTTCTTGATGAATTTGGTGTCACAGTCATTTTGATTGGTCAAGCAGATGGAGATTTCTTATCTTTCAGAGGCAAACAAGACGTGATACACCTATCATCTACTAGCTGATATCGTGCTGTATGTAGTAGATTTATAAGCCCCTATCTAGGACCAGTCAAACTTGACAATTAATTTATCTGTTTAGACCTCATCAACGGCCAGTTAAAATAATGTATCGGGTGTTAAGTTTAACATCTGGTTAACCACATCAGTCACTTGGTGAAGTCTCCTGTCCCCTCCCCTCTTTTCCTGTTCTCCGGTCCACCGCCACATTATAATGGGGTCTTAACCATTGAGTTATTACAGGTAGCATTAGAAAAAGGGTCCCTCTTATTTGACAGATGTAGTATGTTTGTATGACAACTGTAGGGTCTCTGCCCCGTCAGATAAGCTTGATAATCCATCTCGCACTTCAAATATCGATTTATAAAGGCGTGAGAACCAGTCGTTGAAATTGCTTCACCTTTGACCCAAATCTGTTCCAAGGTCTCTGAAAGTAGTTGCAATGACTTCCGCTTGATAATACCCAAGATAATTTCCATTGAGAAATGGAAATAGCGCCACATGTTACCTGAATTACCCAACTGTCGTCTGCTATGGAACTAGGAAATTAAGAAAAGTTTGAAGAGCTATATGAGTTTGACCATCTGCGGTTTTCCCTTTATCAGGTATTTAACATAACATTTTCGGCGAATTGTTATGGCTCTCGTCAGCTTCAGATCTATTTGTTTTGACTATCTGCCAGGATAAAGTACAAACAACTGAAGAGTGTATGTCAGTGGCAAGGCTACTAATAAACACTGACATCAACGTTATTTGCCCACAATAACTTAATTAAATGATATTGAAATTGGAAAACAAGTTCTTAATTACACACATACGACGCTTTCCTTTTTGAATTTTGTGAACATCGAGTATATTTGTTAAAT